TACTTTAAACAAATTTTAAGGATTTATTTCCAGCTGTGAAATTTGGGGAGGCTGTACTGTTTCATTTACCTTCTTGTTAAGTTGTATTTTCTTCTGAACTAGAAATGTTACTTTTTTTTTTTAATGGAGAATATACTTACACTGCTGTGTTTTGTTAGCCTCTTATTTAATCTTAGAATTTAATACTTGCCTACATTTTGTTTTCATGATAAAATCTTACTATGCCCTTATATTATTCTAGATGCAACCACCTAATATCTTTCTGTTAGCCCAAGAAACAAAACAGTTTCATGGTAATGTGCTTACATTCCCATTCTAAAATGTTTTTCCCTGTGATCAGTCCTGTTTTGAGTTTTCTTTTAAAACTTGCTCTATCCATGAGTATTATGGGGTCTTTCGTTTAATCCAACAGTGACCAATTTTCACCTTAGACTTTATTGTGTAATTTCTCTCCCTTATTCTTTCATTTCCCTTTTCTGTTTTAAAAACAATGTAGCCTTGTTTTTGAGAGGAGGGGGCTGGCAGGGGGCAGATTCCCCTTAAATTAGCTGCTTAAAAAGTAGAGGTTTTGAAAACCTTAGCCTATTTTTGTATTGATTCCATGATAAAAATGTGTTCCCTTTGTTCTTTGGATTCTAGGCAATGTTTTTAGCTTTTATTTACATTCCTCTTGGTTTTATTAAACAAAAAATGCAGTATGGCTGAGAGAATGCTTAAAAGATACTGTAATGCTTTGTTACTTTGTACCTCTGCAGTCGCTGCTTAAGCAGCTACAGACTAATTTTTAAAGGTATCCTAGAAGTCTGTAGTGATCTGTCTTTGCCCCAATAATTTTCTTTGTCCAACCTTTCACTCCTTAAAGGCTAGACCTGATTGAAAATTTGGCTATCTCTGCCTTTCTTGCGACATTTAAAATTTTAAATATGAAAATATATGAAGTGTAGAAACGTACAGATATTTCCCAATTTGAGAATCATCAAATCAACTGTATAGGTACTTCATTGTTTCAGGCATGTAAGTCTTGCCACCTCAAAAAATAACTTGTGCCTCTAAAACAAGAACCATGTCTCTTACATGTTATCTCCTTCCTATCTGCCCTCCTCCTACACTCCTAATACATTATGTTGCCATGGATTTGAATTGCATTAAGTGAGTAAAACTGAAATTCCAAGTGGAATTGGCTTTTGGGCGCTTACCCTCCTCAGTGGTTTGTTCTGTCCTTCATAGTTTGCACAATAATTTTTTTGCCTAGATGTCCAGTTGCACCAAAGCAAAGCCCATGTATTCCTAAAGGGATTGTTTATTACTATTTTTGGTGGTAGTTCTTAATTTATATCATCTTCTAGTGGTGGTGGGGGGCAGATACACCTTCTCTTTCCATGTAAGTTTGGGCTTAGATTCTGAAAATAGTGAAACATGTGCTGCTTTTTTCACTGCTTTGTGGCACCCTAATTATGTTACTACAAAGATAATAAAATCAGATATCTTATAAATATTAAAGGACTTTATAGGCACAGTTAATGAACTGAATGAGGTTACTAAGATTCCAGAGGGAAAATTTCAAAACTGTAGTTTCTTTTACATACTCACAAGATCTTGTGCATTGCAGGCCAGAATAAAAGCCAGGGACCTTGTAAGGAAGGCGAGACATCAGAAAGGTGGTACAGGAACCCCAGCACAGGTGTGGGGGTGAGGGTGGGGGTGGAGAGGCCAAGAGGAGGAGAGGGAATAGCTGATTCTCATCTGCTCACCTAGGCCTACCTCGCTTTTTCGCGCTGAATCATGCTCCAGTTTCTGTTCTAAATATTTGTAGTGTGTGCTTTGAAGTTAGTTATGCATTCAGATCCTATCTCCACCTCTTACTTGATTACGTGGTGACTTTGAGCTCAAAGAGGTTGAGTAGCTTTCTTAGTTTCCTTGTTGCAAAAAGAGGAGTAATGTCTGTTGTAAAGTCTCAGTAGGGTTAGAGATAGTGTATGGTAAATGTCTAGCATACATTATTACTAGTTTTGAGAGCTACCATTCACTGTTTATATATGCCTATCCCTGCCCCCTTCCCTGCCACTTCTAACATCCCCCCACCTCTAACTGCCTCCTTCCTAGTTCTCAGCATACTGCCTGGCAGGTAGCATGTTCTCTGAGCATTTTCCCTTGTGACACATTTCACATATTATCTTGGAGAAAGCCATATTCAACTGTTGTGCAGAATTATGTACTTTGTGGTCTTATTTCACTTAATGTTATGGTGGTATGCCTGTCTTCAGTGTGCTTTTTGAGGTGGCTTCCTCAAGAACTTACAGGGGTGGAGACTTGGCTGTTTAAATGTTTGAATTCTCCTGTTCTAGCAATGTGATCTGTACATGTTAGGCCCTCCATAAATGTATATTAAACAAATTAAAGTTCTTGCCCCAGAGCCCAGCCTCGTGGGGGCTTTGAAGAGAGCAACATTTGTATTATTTACTAAAAAAATTCATTCTTAGGAGAAAAACAAGTTTTAAATTCTCCTTGACTTCTTTGGTATGTCCACTTAAAAAGCTTAAAGATGTTAAATGCCTAAAGGTCCTTAGACCTCAGAGAGATTTAATACTTGCTGCTAGTGCCCAAGAGTTTTGAAAATGTATGCTGATGTGGTAAGTTGTGGAAACAACATACTTGTTCATTTTAAAATTAGTTTTTATAGATGCGCATCTGCAATTTTGTATAATAGAAGGTTGTTTCCAAGAATACAGTGATCTCATTGGAGTTTGACAGCTGTAACTTAGTTGGCATTCACACAGCTCTGGGCCAGGTATCAGAGCTCCTCTTTGGGACCCCACTCTCCCATCTCAAAAAGCCAGGCGCTGATAACTAGAATAGGTAATACTGGCAGAATATTACCAACACAGGCAACAGCCGCTACACAGATACATCAGAATCTGAGCAGGGAAGGACACCGTGTGCTTGTCTTCAGTGTTTATACGGTGGGCTAGGGCACCTATGATCGAATCAGATGAAAAAATGGTTAAATCACTTGAGACTTCTCTCTCTTCCTGTTCCCTGCCTGCCCCTCTCGTTCCCTCCCCCCTTTTATTTTTCTTACCATTGTAAACAAAGAATCAGAAATTATGAAATTTCCTATTCTTAGTCATCTTTTTGAAAAATTTTTCATTTAGTTCTGTCTCATATGCTTCCCTGGTCTTTTCAACTTCAGTTCTTGTATATAAATTGTGAAACTTGTACAAATATAACAGAGATAAAGTGCTACAATAATTTTTTTTTCTCTTTTTAAGGGGAAAGTTTTTTTTGTTTTTGTTTTACTATAAACTACAAGCAGGCAGATTTTGTTGCTTCACTAGTTCTGTCAGCTATAGTAGAAATGTTAAAAGTGCCAAACTTGCAGAGTAACATGCTTCTGAGTGGAATCAGGGGTCTTCTTGAAGTGTGTCAATGTAACGCTGACCTCTCTGGAGCAGAACCCACTTCTCTGCTGTGGGTTGAAGTGGAAGTGAGGCATTCGTTCTCTGTTCCAGGGCTGTGCTGCTTTTCACTTAAAGGTCTCATTTAGAAAAAATAAATGAAAATATACATACATACATACATACATATGAATGTATCACCATTGTTGTAGGTAGATTTTAATTTTTCAGGTCTTCTAGCTATGCCAAAAAAAAAAAAAAAACAAACTGAAACACATACTGTCTAATTTCTAAGGGCTTTATTTAATACTACATTTACTCTATATTATTTTGTAGGAGATAGGAAGAAATTCAGAAATGGGGCTTTTTCTCCTGCATATTTTACCACTGGCTAAAACTAAACATTTCTGAAATTACAGCCTTTTAAAGTTCCTCAGCTTCCTCACTTCCTCCTAAACAGCCGCCTTTTTCCCCGCCTTAGTATCATGTTCTCAGACTGCCAGGCCAGGACTCCTAAATGTTTCTCTCTTTCGCTGTGGTTTAGCAGAATGAGTGCTAGGTGGAGTCAGGAAATCTGAATTCTTGAGCTGGCTGTGTTCAAGTAATTTGAACTTTATCATCACTCATTTCCAGGAACCCATGGATATCCTTTATTTTCTACCTCTAAACATCCTCAGCCTTTTGTGTCTTCATATAACTGTGCTTCTAGTGGAAGGTCTACCCTCACGTGGCCCCTGCCAGGGTGACCATCCCCTTCCTCTCCCTTATATATATATACCCTTTGGTGACCTTCTTGACAAGAGGCTGTGGCACCTCAGACTTCATTCCTAGGTCTTCATTAGGACAGACTCAAATCCTTACAGCCCCTAAAGAAAAGATGGCAAATTCTTATTTCACGGGGCCCTTATGCTCCAGATATGGGTCTCCTGATAGAATATGGAGTCAGAACCAGACGTACATGCATTATTTATTCCTTCATTGCCAGCTGGACTCAGGCTTGGCAGCCCCAGCGAAGTCAGCCTCTAGTCATAGGCTGCCAACATTGCCAGGCTCCCTTCACGGCATGTCATGATTTCTAAAACACAACCTGAGTTGGTGCTAACATGTTTCAAAGTCTAGTTCTGTAGTCTTATAGAATAATTCTATAGTAAGACTTTCCAAGGAAGTGAGTTTGCATCCTCTGTGGGGCATTGTTTTGTTTTTCTAGATAACTTAATATATGCATATGTAACAGTGTCACACATTTTTTTCTTAAGAATGTGAAAACTGCAGAGTTTCTCAGTTTGTCTTTTTAGGGATAGTTCCTTGCAATTTATTGTTAGTATATTATCTCTACTGGAAGAGATAAAACATACTATACTTGGTCAATGGCAAATGCTAGTTTTAATAAGTGAAATTGCAGCAATGGAGGTGTTTCCAGTAACTTTACCAGATTCTTTCTTTTTTAAATAAGTAATTACAGTCATCCCTTTAAATTCCAAAGGACTTTAAAATAGTTTAGACAAGTATTTATAGTGCCCATGATTCTGTTTACTGTGTAGCTCTGCCATTGGGATATATGTATATCTTTTTTTTAATTATTATTATTATTATTTTTAACTACAGGAGCTCTTACCAAAGTAAAGGAGAGTAGGAGACACGTGGAAGAAGGGAAGATGGAGGTCCAAAAGGCTGACGGCATCCAAGATCGCTGTAACACTATTTCTTTTGCCACCTTGGCTGAAATTCACCACTTCCATCAAATTCGAGTAAGAGACTTTAAATCACAGATGCAGCATTTCTTACAACAACAAATACTATTTTTCCAAAAAGTGACGCAGAAGTTGGAAGAAGCTCTTCACAAATATGATAGTGTTTAATGACTGGACATTGGATTGTGGACTTTTTTCAGTTCAAGGATAATTTCGACAGCAGAATAAAAACTGCTATCAAAGAGCTATTGCCAACTATCAGTGGTGGTACAAGGATGGTTTTGTGTTAACTGAAACTCGGCTGAATATATAATTATGTAGGAAAGAAACAGTTAATATGGTTATATAATAGAAACAGTACCACACATTGTAACTAAATTATACTATGTATGCCTACACTACCATTGTAACTTTTGGAATAATGATTATACTATTTGCCTTATTGCTTTTTGAAGTATGGGTATTTTAGTGTAGACCTCAAAACCCATGAAGGGTCTCAAAGAAGCTGGCTGGATAAAAGCCTGCTGTGGATGCCTTTTTACTCTCATAGATTGGAATTACCTAAATTCAACCTGTTCTCTGTTTACAAACTCCAACTAGAGCAGCTATGCGACTTTGTGCCTTTAGACTCTTGGTTTTTCATTTCTCCACCCTCTCCCCCTTTTTTAAGTAACCACAACTTTTCTGATTGAAAGAGTGAAAGGCCAGTGCATACAATGACAAACTGCTGGTAACTTCACATTGGCACTGGGGGCGGGTGGAAGGATCCGCTGTCATCAGTTTGCACAGCAAATTTTGTCTCCTTACACATGCTGGTGAGTGCAGCAGAGGGAGATTCAATTGTCATCTTGAAATATGAAGTCTATTAGGGAAGAAAATGGTGCCACTCTTTTCCCTTTAGATGATACAGTAGCATAGCCTCTTCACGCAAGTGTCCTGGAAACTTGGTGTGGAGATTTAAAGGAACATGTCTTATAACATGGAGGAAAAGGAGTTTAATCAGTCGGGGACACAAGCACAGAATCAGTGAGGACACAGACTCGGTTTTACTTCTTAGGAAGGTTTTCTTTTGTTTTTTTAGCTTGAAGATTTATTATTCAGTGCGATTTTTTTTTTTTTTTTTTAATGGATTACACTGTTAACTGATTGACACTCCACTGTGATTCACTCGTTTACTTAATCAGATACTTTTCAGGGATGTCTATAAAATTCAGTGTTATACGTGATGAAAAGTAGTGTTGATCTAAGGAGGGACCAGAAATAATTTCTACTATTCCAAATGCTGAAAATAAAGAGTAATTTTTTTTTAAGTATTGATAAGCCCCTAGGACATTTAACCTTAAAAATTATCTTAAATATATTCTTGTATTATTATAAGGGAAGTACAAATGGCTGGTAAATACCAAAAAGATTCAAAAGCAGCTTCATTTAAAAAGCACAAAGAGATTCTGGCTTGAAATGCCAAAATCTCCATGTTTTTTTTATAGTTGCTGAGCTAAATAATGTGATTCTTACGTTTACAGATGTAAAAATTGTCACTGAAAGGTTAAAGTATCTACTGTTTTTATAAGTCAAACTTAAGCTGCCTCAGAAATCCCTGGGTATTGAAACGGTAACACGGAAGTAAAGAGGTCAGTTTGAAATACAGGTGAGTCACACTGATTAAAGGAAAGAGTAATTATTGCCATAATTACTCAACAGCACATTTACTCTAAAACGTAATCTCATATGGGTTGAATTTTTAAGATCAGAATATTATAATTTTGTTCATAATTTTATACCTTAGGTAACTTAGAGCCAGATTTAACATCATGTGGCTTTGTCTCTACTGCAGATATGTGGAACTGTAACCAAATATATTGTTCTCTAAAAAGTAACTTTCTCTTATTGATTGCAAAATACAATTTGATAAACAAAACATATATAAATGTTAATTTCATTGCAGAAGTTTGGAGATTATAATTATAGCATTTAATTTAAGTTTGAGTGTATTGGACACATAAGCACTATGCTTTTCAAATGATTTGAAAATCAGTTTTATTTGCCTCTTTATTTTGATGGTGGTTTGATTTTTTTTTCCTAAGTAAAATCACTAAACTTGTACAATGGTAGCATGGAAATTATCTGAGGTGTCTTGTATGATTGTGCTTTAGCCAGGGTGGACATAGCTTAAATTATAAAAACTAAAGATGAAGTACAAAGAAGTATAAGTTCATGCTGCCTATTTAAAAAGAGAACTCTTGTTCTTCTTAACTATATAACATCATAATGCCACTGATTCATAAGGGGTTTAAATTCTGTGGGATAAGACACCAGCATTATCAGTGTTCATTTTCAACTAAGATTTTTATTTCTCTAACGTTCTTGGTCCTATTGAAACATTTCAGTATACAGAAATACTGCAATGTTAGCACCCAAGAGAAAAGCCATCATAATCTGTGTGCTGGTCGTTATGATCAGTGTGGTACAATTTTTTTAAATAAACTATCATGCCCTTCATGCCATTATTTGTCTTTATTTCTATAATTTATAATTCTGATGATGTATTTATAACATGAGGGCATCCACTTGAGCCTGATTTTGCTATTTTAATTACAGATGGAGTTGTTTATGTGCTGTAACTATAATGCAGTGAGACTGGTTCTACAGCCCCGCGTTGTAACCCCATTAGAAGAGACAGCTCATCTCTTCTAGGCTGTTGTATCTGAAGGTGCAGTTTAAAGCCAGAATAAGGGAACACATTTGAAAGTGAAAGATAAAGTCAGTGCACATTGGCTTGAACAGAGTAGTATAGTAGTTGGGATTTTCTTGGGCTTCATTGATAGTTAGTTGTCTTACATTTATTCATAACAATACATTAGATTCTGAAATGCAGGTTTTTAATTGTCTTAAATTTTGCTGCTGTTCTCATAATTGAGGACTTGAATAATATTTTAGTCTGTCAAGTCAAGCATGTAAAGTGTATGTATAAACCTTTAAATGTCATTTTTAACCAAGTTCATTGCTATGGCCATTTTTTCCATTTATGTCTGCATTTCTTCCGAATCTAATACCGTCTGTGTCTGATACCTTTAAATCCATAAGCATTATTCAATTTTCTCATTTCCAACCTTATCTTTGGCTAACAGAATAAGTAAAACAGGGTATTATTTATTTATAGACTAAAAATGTTGAATATTGTTTTATTTCCTTCAAAATGTTATGATTAGTGCAGATCAGCCATGTTTATTTTTTTTAATAAACAAAGGTTGCTTTATTTCTCAGCTTCAGTGGAATATTATAATTATTTTTCTCCATTTATTTAATGTGAAAGACTTATACAGAAAAATTGAGTGTGTTCCATGTCTTAAGCTTCTATCTGTAGTTGCCATATGAATTGTTCATGAAATTCTATAGCTAGTTTGATTAATTTAAAATCATAAGCCATTCAGGTAGTCCCACTGAATATCTTACATTAGTAACTTCAGTGACTGTTAAGCATATAGCAGTAAATTGTTAGTAAGATGTTTTGAAATAATAGTTACTGTGTGTCTGGCACCTGACAGGCGAGCTCAAACCAGTCTAATTCAAACTATAAAGGGTCACAGATGGGTACAGGGACCTAGTGAATCCCATATGGGGCCAAGGTCCCATCTGGAACCAGGCTTGCCCTCTATGTGGGCCTTTGTGATTTGTCAACTTCTTTTCTTCATGGGTCTATTTATTTATCAGTGGCTTGGCTTTCTTAGCATCTTCCAATATGTCTAAAATGGCCAGACCCTTTTTTGGTTCACTGGTGTTCTTGGCCCAGTGGTAGACACCTGACCCAAGCTGGACAAATCAGCTATGGGATGGGGTTAGGGGGAGGGTATGGAAAGGAAAGTTTCTCTTTAGAGTATGTGAGAAAAGAAAGAAAATGGTTGGTACCTCATAATATGGACTTTATCTGGTAGTCCTCACAGCAAACCTGGAGATTCCATCTCTTGTTTATAGATGAGTTAAAAGGATCAGAGAGGTCTGGTATCTTTTGCCCAAGATTACTTGAGCTAAATGATGGAGCTGAGGTTCAAACTGAGATCTGGCTCAAGCTTGCGCTTTTTTAAACTAGATTACGTTAGGTTCCACTTCCCTGCTTTGCAGAAACCCCTAACACCTTCCCCAGATCCCACTGCTGGATTGATAGGGATTCAGTCATTCTTTGAGCACTGGGCATGGAAGTACAAAGAGAATCTCTGAAAATGTGCTCTTTGCATTTATTTCTCTTCGGAAAGGGGAATCTGTGTCATCACATTCCTGGCCGTTTATGACTTGTATTGCTCTGTCTCAATGGAGAAGCAGGTAAGGTATGATGTTTCAATAGTGATAATGAAGGGAGAGAAGGAAAAGAACCCAAACCTAGTGCTTTCTCCTTTTCTCTAATTCTCACATTCATGCAAATATAAAGAGGTTTCAGTTGCCATAAGAACAACCTTGGTAGAACCACAAGGACTAATGTCAAGTCAAGCGTTTAATTCCAGTCGGTCATGGTCAGAGATAGCCATGACACGTTTTACTCGGTCACAGGTCGAAGCAGCAGAGAATTCCCTGTGTGGTAAGCTCTGGTGAGTCTGAGAGGTGGTGGAGACTTGTAGGCAGAGTCTAAAGGGACGCTTGGCCTCTGGCTCTGGGGGTAGGGACCTGGAGAGACACAGCTGAGTATCTGCAACTATCCCAGGCCACTGAGCTGGGGGAGCAGTTCATCTGAGTTTGGGTCATGGCTATAGCCTTCCTAGGGATCATGAGTTCCTCTGACTGGGCCCTGATCCCAGGATGTCCCAGTCCCGTCATTCTTGTGGCAGAGATGGAACTTCCAAAACTGCCATAGTGGACTGCCTGTTTTGAAGGACAGTTCAACTTCTTTGGGTGAGCTTATATCAGAAGTCTGCCAATTGTCCCTGTGAAGCTACCTTTAAAGGGACTTAGAAACACATAAGATATGTGTTATTCATCGCTGTGGGTCTCATCAGCTTATCTGGAAATGACTTCTAAATTTGAGGTGGTCAGATGCATCAGACCATATTTTTCTAGTGGTTTAAATTTTCAGTCACTCCAGGAAATTGCAGGATTTAATAACTGCTGAGTTGTTGGACTTCTCTGCAAGCATCGCTGGGAAGCTGACCTAGCAGATTAGTGAAGAAGGCAATACATTGGAGCCAGGGGTCCTATCTCAGCTTCTACACTCCCTTAGTGACCTCAGGCAACTCACCAATCTGTCTCTGATCCTGTTCCCTCAATTGTATGATGGGCCTACTTAGATTTTACTGAATTATTGATAGCATTAGATTAACCAATATATAAAGTCCTTAACCATTTTATAGTACTCCCTTCCCAAATAACAAAAGTGGAAGTGAGAAAAATTCCAGAAATAGGTACTTAATAAATGATAGCAATGTTTCCAAAATTTGTGTGGCCTTGACTTAGTCAATCTCTGAGCCAGATTTCTATCTGTAATGGATATCCCCTTCACAGAAATATTGTGAGAATTGAATGACAAAGCCCAAAGCCCAGAGCCCAGTGCACAACAAGAGTTAGAATAAGAAAGATCCTCTGTGATCCTTATGTGAGAAGAGACGAGATGAAGGATTTACATAGTAAGAACTTTATATTAAGTGTGCTATGGAAAATTAAGGAATCCACACTTGGGTCCCAGTCAGGCCGCAGTTTCTGCTTTCAGCCGCAGCTCTTTCACCTTCCACCTGCCTTGGTCAGCTCTCCCTGACCCAGCTTGGCTTCAGGTCCAAACCCCTGTGCAGGTTCCTGCTCCTAGAACCCGAGCATATTTTGCCTAGAGCCTATTTCTCCACACTTCTCATTCATCCCTCCTGCTGGGGTGGGAAGGGGCTCCGCTCTCCAGAGATAACCCCTTTTCAGTAAGGGCTCCTCACATGGTCTTGAAAAACTAATACCAGTATGTTTAGGAAGTTGTCTTACAGCTCTTACCAGAAATACCTGAGGAAGATAGCTCAGAATTCTGTTTTTATTCGCCAAGTTAATGATTTTATTGATGTCTGCTGCTTTTACACCTTAAAAATGTGTACTTGAGGAGGGACAGCACACTCAGTGTTGGTATCACAGCCCTGACATCGTGCCACACAGGCATTTCTAAATGGCTGTCAGTACGTTCTCTCTGCAAAATTGAACTTGAATGCCTCTGGTTGGCTTTTGGAGCAACCATGCCCTGAATCAAAATATTGGTGTAGAGCAAATTTGGTTACATAACTTGATGGTTCTGCTTTTCTTCATCCTAAGAGTTTTAGAAAATACCATGTTTTAAATTCAAAATGGTTCCCTTGGGGAGAAAAATCTTTAAAAATAAATTGGAGTACAGTATAGGGTTTAGCAAATTAAGTTCAGCTTAAAACTGACAGTGTTTCAGCATATCTGTTTGGGGCCTGTAGTTTTGATCAGTTTTTTTATTGCCTGGCTTCTGTGAACTCCTCTGTGAGCCAACTGGGGTGTCTAGGTGCCAGCTGCATATTCAGTACAAGGCTGCAACCCTGTGGGACCAGGTCCATGAGCCTGTGTTCTTTATCAGAACCAGAATACCTACGGAGAACGTGAAACCTGTAGTCCTGGAGAAAAAGTGGCTTTTTTGACAAATGGTGCCTTTTAATGGCTCCTATTCTAGAATCCATGGAAAGAAATTTTGACCTTTTAGGTACACAGTTATCTGAAGGACTAAAAACTACAGGTGTCAGTCATTTTTTAAAAAGAACAAAATAAGGAAGACCTTTATATACCAAAATAGATTTTCCCAGGAAAAGTTACATGAGAAAAATAAAAAGGCAGAACAATAATATTTTGTATGTAGTAAAAGATAAGAAAGTAAATATGTTTATTTATATATGCATAGATTATTTCCAGAAATATACGCAAACACTTGGTAACAAGGTAACACTGCTTTGGGGGCTGGCAACTGGATGGCTGAGGGGTGGGAGATTTTTATTGTGTAACTTTTTTTAAATCTTAAATTTATTGGTGTGACTTTGGTTAATAACATTATATGTTTCGAATGTACAATTCTATAATACACCATCTGTATATTGCATTGTGTGCTCACCACCCAAAGTTTAGTCTCCCTCCATTATCATATATTTGACCTCCTTTATCCTCTTTGTCCTATCCCCACCCCCCACTTCCCTTCTGATAACCACCATTCTGTTGTCTGTGTCTATGAGTTCATTTGTTTTGTTTGTTCATTTGTTGCTTTCTGTTTTATATCCCACATATGAGTGAAATCATATGGTTTTTGTCTTTTTCTGTCTGACTTATTTTGTTTTATGATACTCTCAAGATCCATCCATGTTGTTGCAAATGGCAGTGCTTCATCCTTTCTTATAGCTGAGTAGTATTCCATTGTATGTATGTATGTACCACGTCTTTTTTATCCAATCATCCATCAAAAGACACTTAGACTGTTTACATTGTGTACCTTTTTATCTTTGTAATTTGGCGATTGAATGTATTTTCTATTTTAAAAATAAAAATAAAGATAAATTTTAAAATTCACAGGGAGACCAGCAAAAAGAAAAACCAACCTAGCATTTAAAAAGAAGAGTAGAGTTCCAGCTCTGTGCCAACCCCTCTGAGACCTGGAAGCAAATTGTGCAAGCGTAGAAGGAACAATCTTACGTGGGCAGTGGACTCACAATAATGACCAAATCAATCCTCATTGTGTTATTCCTTGTTGAAATTCAACAGCATCAGGAAGTGTACTGTTGAGAGACTAGGTAAAGTGTATTGTAGAGAGAGATACAATGAAACCATAGCCTGTGGTTTCCTGTGGTACAAGTTATTCTTTGTTTCTAAATCCAAAACCCTGGTCTTCTGTGTCCTGGAGAGCTTTCCAAAATGTCTTGTCCCTTCTCTGCAATTCTATCATTTTTTGTGATGACTTTTTAGCAGCTAAATACCCCATAGATCCTGGACTGAGATCTATTTCTTTTTTCCTTCCACTTATGTATCAAGTGTTTATTATGCTTGAGGAATGGTACTATTCCCTGCCATTACATACATTATTTTATCTACAGAACTCCCTTATAAAACCATTTTACAAACAAAGAAATTGGGACATTCAGTAATGGTCCCACAGCCAGAAAGAGGCAGAACTGGGATTTGAACCAAGGTCATCTGACTCCAGGGTCACCTGACTCTACAGCTTGTGTTGTAATCACTTTATAACCTACTTGAGAATACATGGCACAAACGCTTTAGCCAGCAGGGAGCTGATGTGGTAGTTTCCTTG